ACAAACCATACAAGGTTCTCATTTTAGGAACCTTGGCTTGAATAACACTGAATTTGGCCGGGTTAAGCAGGTTCGACTTTCATCCATCTTGCAGCACTCCCTTCATGGTGGAAGTGGCACCACAGGGTCACCTTCTCCTGCTCCTGTACCTCATCCATACTACCACCAGAGGCATCATCATCATCGCCATCACCATACTGCCCATCAAGCTCCTGTATTTCCACCTAAACCTGCACCTGCAGCTGGGAAAGGTGCACTTTCACCTCATGTTGGCTCTCCTGCAGCTCCGGAAAGTTTGCCCGCACCAGGGAGAAGTTCTCAAGCTAGGTCTCCTAATTGTAGATCTGCTCGGAATACTGGAAAACATGCTCATCCTACACCTGCAGTTGCCCCTGCTATAGCCCCAACCTATCCCGTTGCCTCCCCAAAACAGCGAGTTGGATCACCTCCTCATGCATCTCATTCTGTTCCTGCTTTTAGTCCGTTGCCAAATGTGGCCTTTGCTCATGCTGAGCCCCCTCCCAAGACTGGACCAGCTTCAGAACGTTCTGACACACATATTCATGGGCCATCACCATCTTCATGTGAGTATGCTTAATGTTCTGGTGTTGTTATTTGAGTTGAAGCTAAATGTCCACTTTAAGTCTAAATTACGGGCAACTCATTTGACATACCTGTTTGCATATCAATATCATTCATCATCTCTGGTTATATCAATTTTTTTAAAAAAATGAGAAATACTTGTATTTTATCAAGAAATTGGAAATGGTTAGCTTTATTGTCCAAGTGGAACTGTAAAGTGTAAATGAACAACTTTGAATATTTTATGTGCGCTTCAACTCCTCAGAAGCACACTGTCTGTTAATTGTTTTGCTCCTGTTTTCCGCTCCATCTTTTTTCTTCGCTCAAATTGGTCTTGAATAATGTGATATCTGTTATTGGTTCAAGGAAACTTGAGCTTCTACAACTTGAGGGTGTCGTGCTTAGAGTCTTATCCATTTGTTATGCAGTCCCGCTTAGTAAGGTCTTGCATTTAGTGCCATCCATCTAGGTTGATTGGCTAATTGTGAGGTGTATAGTGCATTTAATAAATTCATGATATAAAGGAACATTTTTTTAATGCATAATTACATCTTGTTTTCACAGCTTTTGCAGGTTGCCGAGGAGCTTGTGAGTGGACGTCTTTAATATTTGTAGCGCTCGTGTTATGTATCATAAAGGAGTGAAATGTATGATTAGGACAATAAGTCAAGAGAACCATAAATGTAAGCTACGCGAAGGCCAAGCTCTACGTCTGAGTCTGAGGGGATATAAAGATGTGATTAAGCTTGTAAATAGTTAAAAAGATCCACACCCTTTTTTTGCATATTCAGGTCAAAGTCCAGTTGTGGCAGGCCTTGCTGTTTTGTGTATTATGTACGGGGGAAATTTGGAAGCAAGAGAAAATGCGTAACGTTTTTCTTTTTGTTTCGCCTCCTCTTTCATTATTTCTGAGTTGCCGTATTAGAGGCAATTCTCATTTGTTGTTCTACTGCTTTGCAATTGTTAAACTAATTATGTGCCTGTACGGTCGATGCGAAATCATAATTATTGTTGAGAATTACCTCAGTAAGTTATCCACGATGCAATTCTCTTTCGGTTAATTTGTTTTGCATTTCGAATTTAAGTTTGTTTCTTGACCCCGCAGGTGAATCCCTTTGTCAAATATTATTGATGTTCATGCCGCATGTATGGAGTTATTTCGAGTCCATAGAATGTCAATGACCCTGTTTTTTCCCCTTATGAATGATTAGATTTTTTTACTCACTTTAAGACTCAAAGGCAACGTCGGCAATTTTAAATTAGGGGGATGAATTTGTAGTATTAAAAATATAATATTTTATTAAAATTATGAATGCATGCCATGGCTCTTAATTTTTCCTCTTATCAGTCATTATTACGAAGACAAGAATTATTGTAGTTATCCTGAAATTTATGTCCCTAGAATAATATATTTCGTCAGAAATACAGAATTAAATATCATGCTTCACTGCTATTGTGTGTGTGTGTGTGTGTGTGTGTTTTTTTTTTTTTTAAAACTGGGTATGTTAGATCTCAATTTTAAAAAGGATAGGAACTATTTGTATAAATATGGGAGCATATAATAACTATTACAGTTCGTTGGCAAAAAAAAAAAAAACTATTACAGTTCATATTATCATTTTATGGTAAATAATTATTTAGTCATTTTTATCAAGAAATAAGGAATATTTTTTAATTCTATTTTTGATACCATATGAAGGTCGGAAATTGAAGAAATTAATATTTATTAAATACTTGTTTACTTTAAAATTTAAAACTATATCGATGTTACTGTTGAATATGAGGGTATGGGTCCCACTTCTGGCGTCGGGATGCATCCTATTTCGCATGAGGATTCTTACCTTTGGCGTCCGCATTCTGGGATTCTTATCAATTTCGATGTGTCTGAAAATCAACGGTGAGAATCATCTCCCAGATTTAGCGTCTGAAGCGGACTGGACAGCAGCGGACAGGGCAACTTGGACAGTGTAATTTAACTATTAAATTTTATTAAAAAAATTAAAGGATACAGGGCAAGAAATTATTTCTATTGTTTATAATTTCTTTTCTTACTATATTGATCTAATTTTAAAAATAGTTTTTTTTCTTTTAATGTAGTTAATATAGGTTATTTAACTGTTTGTAATACTTGAGCTTCTTTTTTTTTTTTAAGAATTCATTTTGTCACAGCTCAAAAAAATGCCAAAAACTATAATTAAAAAAAAAAAACAGCGCTCTTTCCAAGCCAAATGTGTCAACCCAAAGTACTATTGCTATGCTAAGCCACGAGTTCCTATGAAATCATTTTATATATTACGTTCGTTTTTTAATATAAAACTCAATTCATTAATTCAGAAAGATTAAAAAAATTATTAAGTTACTTTAAAAGGTGGATATAATTTTTAACTTTTTAAATTTGTCCTCATTTTAGTTTTAGTTTCTTAAACATCAAATTACAGTTTTAGTTTCTCAAATTTTCTTATATTTAAAATAATAGTTTTTATAATTTAATAAAAATTTGAACCATTTAACTTCTTAAAAGACTAAAATCTATTATTTGAAACTCAAAAAACTAAAATCAAAATTTGTACAAACCTAAGAGATCAAAAATTATATGAACGCTACTTTCAAGTATTTATATTTATTATTTTTCTTCAAATTAATTTGTCTTACTTATAAATTGATATATAATTTAGTAATATACATAAATATTTTTTAAAAAATCATGTAATATATGACATAATTAAATAATTTAGCCTCATTCTTTTCAAATTAGTCATCTGATACGGAAGTAATATTGCTGATGTTTTCAAAATTGTAAGTATTTGTATGAGTGTCATTTTGAATGGGGGGATTTTCCCGGATCATGAAGAATTATTGGAATCCCATATTTTATTATTAAGAGCAAATTGCTATCAGACACTGGAGCCTTCCACAATAGAGACCAGACAACGAACGAACGGCGCGAACTTAAGAAAGCGCCTCTGCCCGCCAGCTGGTTCAATGAATCATGAAGGCAATCACATGATGCGTTCGTTGACTTTCAAAGCCTCTTCCGTCCCTTCATCCTCTTTATTAGTGATCTCTATCTAAATCCATGGCTTAGATATATACTCCTCCTATATTTAATATAAGACATGTTTAATAAATTTAATTTGATTAAAAAAGTTAAGTAAATTAGTTAATTATAAGAAATATGACATGTTTTTCCTGAAGCATCATAATCATCTTTCTTAATATCCTCCCCCTCTTCTATTTGATTATGATTAAGAGAATATTCATATGAGTAATTTAAGAAAATTTGATAAATATAAGAAATACGTGTTATATTTAGAACCAAAATTAACTCAATAATTAGGTCCTATATTAAGAACCGGAATAGTAGTTTTTAATCCTTCATTAACAAGTTTGTTTTTATAACAATGATAACTAGAGGACCATTCTTATCCCACATTCTGCATCAACATGTCTACTATTTTTAACCGTAATTGATGCAAGATTTTGGTCTTTTAATTCATCATGTAATAGTAGTTCGGTTCCCATAAAGTTCCTATCTTCTGCTAACACTGACGTTGATTCCCACTTAATCATGATAAAAAGTGCATATACATTACATGAACACTGTGAGTGATGAATAATGAATTTGCCATTACAGCTGGCAAATATATATAAATAATTGAGACTAAACATTTATTAATTGCTTTAATCCTACTCTCCAATCTTACTCCGGACGAGATGGATCCAAAACCAAATCAATCTATTATCTTAATTAATTGAATCCCACGATTCTTGCCCAATTAAAGTAAACGCGAGGCGATATCCACGTCACCATGGGAAATAATCCCAGACACAAACCAATATCTAAAAACTTATGTTGGCAAAAATTAAGGCTCTCACAATAGATGCATGCGGTATTTATTAGCATATCCCTATTATTATAACTCAATAATAACCCTTTAACTTTCATCATATTCTGCTTATAATATAAAAGTCAAGTTTTTACCAAATGAGGATTATATTTTATATAAGGGACCTGCAAAATGCTTTTTCTTTATATATATGTATGTATGTAAACGAATTTTGCGATTTAGCAGAATGTCCTGCGCAATGCAGACCCACGTATTTGGTTTCTACTCCTCCGGTCCTTATTATAAGACCCAATTTGACTTTTTATTTGGTCCTAATTATAAGACCCAATCCATTTTCTCTCTTATATTTATGCATTTTTTTTCAAGATAATCCTTCTAATAATGATAGTTTTAGCCAATATACTTAATTAGCAAGGATATTTTAGAAATAACAACACTCATTTATTATAAATAACCAACTTAACTTACTTCCTTAATCTCCTCAAATAAGTCAATTGGGTCTTATAATTAGGATCGGAGGAGTATTAATTAACGGATGATAATACCTTGCGGAAGGCCTAGAGAAGTGACTCGGTCACAGTGTCATTCTCCTGGAAGCTCGATTCAGTAGGCCTGGCAGCTTCACAAGTCACAGCCTCAGCCGCAAGAGAAAAATATCATTGCCTTTTTGGTAGCAAATATCAATCCCCAGAAACGGCCGATTGTGGCCCCATTCAATCGGTAGCCCACTTTTCCTCAGAGGAAAATATCTCTTGAAAGCTCAAAATCACTCCCCACATTCGTGTTGCGTCGAATAACACAAAAGGCCTCTCGCATTCGTTTGTTTCCTCTTTCTCTTCGCTGCCTCTTGATTGAGTCTGCTGTTAATTCCCTCAGGAAGACCTGCAAGATCATATCTTTCGTTTTAAGCAAGGTGAATTGGATTTGGCTTGTTCGTGTTAATTCTTGGAGATTTCTTTTTGTTATCTTCAATTCCACTGCATACATTAGCGCTTTTGTTGACTTCGTTTGAGTGACTTCTTTTATGGCTTTTGTATCTGAATTTTAGTTTACATGACCCTGGTTTTCGAGCTGACTTCCGAAACCAACCTCTTGTTTACTTAAACAGAGGTGAGAAAATTGTTCGATTACTTGAGCTGTGTGAAAGGATAGAAACTGACGCATTTCATTTCGTTAATCTAATAAGGAATTGATGTAGTCTTGTATAATTGTTTCCTTTCACGTTTAGTGACCGACCAAAAGGGTAAGTCTTTAGTGCCTAGAGTTTCGTTACTTTTGTTCTCTGATATGTAATGATCCTTTTGATCTTCTTTTGGCACTGACAATTGCATTATATTGCCAAGCATTGATTTCTTTTGGAAGAAATGGTGAATACGGGATTGTTTTCCGGGAGCAAGGCCGCGAAGTCGGTCAAGATAAGCTTTCAGTTGCCATATTACACTCACTGGGGACAAAACTTGCTCGTGTGTGGCTCTGTACCTCTGCTTGGTTCGTGGAATGTGAAGAAGGGTCTGTTGCTCAGGCCCTTTCATCAAGGCGATGAGCTCATCTGGCGCGGAAGTATCACGGTGCCTTGTGGGTTCCAATGCCAGTATAATTATTATGTTGTAGATGATAACAGAAATATTCTGAGAAATGAAATGGGAAAGAAGCGTGAATTACTAGTCCATGAAGGCATCCAAAGCGGCCAGGAGGTTGAGTTCCGCGATCTATGGCAGGTGGTGCCTTTGTCCTTTTCCGCATTTTTTCTTATTAAATTCCTCAGAAGGTTGCTTCTTGTTAAGATATGCATATTTCCTATGCTAAAGTAATTTCGATTTCATATTAATATTTCAGTCTGTACTTTATTTGCCTGTTCAAAGAATGAAAGATAATGGAAATAAGGTTCTTAAGACAGCTAGCAAGACATGCAGATTTTGAATTCTTTTCCTCATTTTTCTCGGTATACAATATACACTAATATTTCTCGGTATACAATATACACTAGTGTCTTACTATGATGTCAATATCTTATCTAGATTTTTTTGTTAATCATCACGTCCAGAGTGGTTCAGATGCCATCCCTTACAGGAGCGCTTTTAAAGATGTCATCTTTCGGCAGAGCTGGAATGCAGGTGTGGCGACGCCAGCAGGAGTTAGCCACTTCAAATTTTCTCAAGAAGGTAACTTTTTTAATATAATAGGTTTGAATTTCTGACATTGTTTGATTTCAACTCCTCTTTTGAAGTGTCATTGATATCATGTTGCTAATAAGCTGCCCTTTGTGACTCCTGATGAGCGGCAGATGCCATTGTCGTCCAGTTCAGAATTTGCTGTCCAAATATTGAAAAAGACACATCAGTGAGTCCCCCCCCCCCCAACCCTCAAAAAAAAAAAATTTGATTAACTGTGTTGTTTATTTTTCAAACTTGAATTTCTCCCAAAAAAAAAAATTGCAATGCATATATTTTAACTTCTATTATCTTAATTTAAGTGATTGGTCCTATATTGGACTCGTGCAGATATGTGTGATCGGTAGCCATGCACAGCTAGGACAGTGGAAGGTCCCCAATGGGCTGAAACTCAATTACTGTGGTGAATCTGTCTGGCAAGCTGACTGTGCGATCCAAAGGAGTGACTTTCCCATAAGATATCCATTTTGGACCTAGTCCTTGATCTTAGATGATATGTGTGTTTTTTATTTTCATTATGGTCCCGTTCTCTTCCTTAACAGAAATTCCACATATAGATATTGCAAATATGACAAGGCTGGAAATACTTCTATTGAGAATGGTCCAAACCGAGAAGTCTCGACTAACTGCTCAAGTAGTGAAACAAAATATATTTTTCTTTCAGATGGCATGCTGCGGGTACGATGTTAAACTTAAGCTGCATTTACTAAGCGAACAGAGTGCTTTTCATCACTAATAGAAGGTTGGCCTTGTGCTTATCTGAAAAGTTTGTGATTCTAATCGGTTGTTAATTGGCTTTGCTAGGAAGTGCCTTGGCGTGGTGCTGGCGTAGCAATACCCATGTTTTCTGTTAGATCAGAATCTGATCTTGGAGTTGGAGAGTTTCTTGACCTCAAGTTACTGGTTGACTGGGCTGTAGCATCTGGTTTCCATTTAGTTCAACTTTTACCAATCAATGATACATCTGTGCATGGGATGTGGTGGGATTCTTATCCATACAGGTGCGACATATATATGCCTTGTCTCTTTATATCATTATTGGTCTGTCTATATTTTTCCTTTTACTCTACATTAATTTGTCAAAAATCAATTCATTCCCAAAGCTTATGCTAATACAATTTGAAGGGCCAATTATTCCTAAAGCTTGAACTATTCCAAAAACTTTACTCAAGTCAATTATTCTTTGTGATTTTAGAGCAACAAACTTTGTATTTGGACTTTGAAAACCTACTGTGACATGAAATTTATCTCACTCTAATATTTCTTGTGTCTATTTGTTGTTAGTAATACTTTATATATTATTTAAAACTGCTTGCATTTATATTTTTGTTTTGCAGTTCACTCTCTGTTTTTGCGCTGCATCCATTATATCTGAGAGTACAGGCACTTTCAGAGAACATTCCAGATGAAATCAAGGTTATATTATGGAATTTTACTTTCTATTTGGAGAACATGCTGGCTAGTTACTTCATATCATTTTGCTGATATTTAAAATTTTCTCCTTTCAATGGCAGCAAGAAATTGAGAAGGCAAAGCAACATTTGGACAGGAAGGTAATAGTATCTACTGTTCATGTCTATCTTAACATCATCTACGAAGACTGTAATGATTCATATGCGTGCAGCATTAAATGAACCTTTGTGTCAAACTCTAAAGACTATTTTATGGCTATTATCTAGGTAAGATTCCATCTTCCGGGTAAGTGAGTCAGAAGTTGGGATCATATCCTGTGTATTGGAAGATTAGGTTGTCCTTATAGGCTATGACAACGAAGAGTTCATATTCATTAATAAGGGTTTTAATGCTCCATTGATGGATGCCTGTTCCTTAGGTTTGGTTAACTTCATGTTTTTCTTTACAGGATGTTGATTATGAGGCTACAATGGCCACTAAACTCTCGATTGCCAAGAAAGTTTTTGCCCTGGAGAAGAATTTGATACTAAATTCTAGCTGCTTTCAGAAATTCTTCTCTGAGAATGAGGTCTTGGTTCATCTCAACACTTTCTAATAATGTGGCCAAAGATCTTTGATCTTAGTTTTTGGTCTCTTCCTTTTTTGGGCCTTTTTCTTTTTGAACTTGGCTGTTGACATTTGTGCATATTATATTGTTGTATTCAATTTATACATCGACTCAGCTGTGTTTTTTATGTTAAAAGGATTGGTTGAAACCCTATGCTGCCTTCTGTTTCCTGCGGGATTTCTTTGAAACATCGGATCACAGTGAGTGGGGTCGTTTTTCTCATTTTTCAAAAGATAAGGTATATCCCTTTGATTTTTTTAAATTCCTAATATTTAAAGTATTTATGATCTATTTTTGGGATTCTTCCGTATATGCTACTTATTGCTATTTATTATATACATAAATGGCCCTTTCTGTTGAAGCCTGGTAACAAAGATCCGTTTGTTTTACAGCTTGAGAAACTTGTATCAAAGGAAAGCCTACACTATGACATAATATGCTTCCACTACTACATCCAATACCATTTACATCTACAAGTAAGTTGAATGATCCCTATCCCATAAGTTCTACTTCATGTGCAGTAAAATTGCTTAATGTTAATAAAAATCTAATTGTTTGCATTCATCTCAAACTTCTAGCTGTCGGAAGCCGCAAAATATGCAAGAAAGATGGGAGTGGTACTAAAGGGAGATCTTCCTATTGGTGTTGACAAAAACAGTGTAGATACCTGGGTTTATCAAAATTTGTTCCGAATGAACACTTCAACTGGGGCACCGCCAGATTATTTTGATAAAAATGGCCAGAATTGGGGCTTTCCTACATATAATTGGGAGGAAATGTCAAAAGATAACTATGCTTGGTGGCGAGCTCGGTTAACACAGGTTTTGTCTCATAAGATTTATAATTTTTTCCGTTCTTAATGGGGAAAAATATCTGACATTTACTATTTTCTTCTGTCGATGAAAGATGGCAAAATATTTTACCGCTTATAGGATTGATCACATATTGGGATTCTTCCGAATCTGGGAGCTTCCTGATCATGCTATGACAGGTCTAGTGGGAAAATTTCGACCATCCATTCCCCTTGGTCAGGTATCCTTCTGGTCTCTTAAATTGGAATGGCACTTTCTTGGTGAATATAGGCCGAACTTTTCTAGCTAGCTAGGTAAACTATCTAATTTCCTATTTTTGAACATTTCATGATTTATGTGAGCTATACTTTCTATCGTAGGAAGAACTTGAAAGTGAAGGAATATGGGACTTTAATCGCCTGATTCGCCCATACATTAGGCTGGGACAATTACAGGTCAGTGTTTTCCTTTGAAGCTGCAAATGCTTCATGCTTCAGCCTGCTGCTATCTGGTTTCTCATAACACGTGATGCTGATGTCTAGAGTCTATATTCTATTTTATACTTTATATTTTATTTTCAGGAAAAATTCGGAGATTCTTGGACATTTGTTGCAGCAACTTTTCTTAATGAATATGAGAAGCAATGCTTTGAGGTGATCATTCTCGCATTAATTATTATTTTTAGGAATTTTTCTTAATCCAGTAAGCTTGCATGGCATAGATTTAATTTTGTTCATTAATGTCTTGCTCAAATAATATTACTTTCCATGTATGATTTTTAGTTCAAAGAGAACTGTAACACAGAGAAGAAAATCGCCGCCAAGCTAAAATCATTTGCAGATGGGTCCTTATTCGAGAGTGAAGACAAAATCCGACGCAACCTCTTCGATCTAATACAGGTAACGAAGCATTATCAATTTAACTTCCTTTTTCTTTTTCTTCTTTCGCTCTCAATCTTTCCCCTGATGTGGATATTTACACATGGAAACTATTCTAATTTTTTGGCTCAATTTTTTTAATGTATTTTTGAAGATTTTACAAGACAGACTACATGTTATGTTTATTGTCTTGCAGAACATAGTTCTAATACGAGATCCAGAGGATGCTAGAAAATTTTATCCTCGCTTCAACCTAGAAGACACTTCAAGTTTTAAGGATTTGGATGACCACAGGTAGTATCTTAATAAAACCGGCTTACTGCATGAATAATGCATATATAACATATTTTAACTGCAACTTTGTAATCTATATCTGGTGCAAAGTCAAATTCTTCTCAAATCTTCACTTCCTTGAGATATTACCTCACAAGATCGCTCTCTATTCATCACATTACACAGCAAAAATATTCTAAAAAGATTGTACTACGACTATTACTTCCACCGGCAAGAGAATCTTTGGAGGGAAAACGCTTTGAAGACTCTCCCTGTCCTTATGAACTCATCGGATATGCTAACCTGTGGGGAGGATCTCGGCCTCATTCCTTCGTGTGTTCATCCTGTATGTCTAATCCACTTCATTCATGACGTATCAGAGACACAGCACACACGATCTCACTTATACTATAGGTATTATTAGAGATCTTTTTTTTTTAATTACTAGAGAAAGATTTTTTTGTTTTCAAAATTTTGTTTATGCAGGTTATGCAAGAACTCGGATTACTTGGGTTGCGCATTCAACGCATGCCCAGTGAACCTGATCTGGAATTTGGTATTCCTTCTCAGTATAGCTACATGACGGTGAGATTTTTTATTTTTTATGTTGCCTTTTGTAAAAGTGGTTGTTCTTATAATATTGTGGTGTGTATGGTTGCACAAGAAGAAAATAATATTTTCCAAATTCACTTTATCCCATGTGAACAAGTGAAACCACCTTATGGAAGAGAAACGTCCTTTGAAGAGAAGTTAGTTGTTTAAATTAACAAAGCCAACGATAGCCAAAATCTTTGACCTGGTTGCGTTTTGTCCTTTACAGATGCATGTCTTTATTATTGCAGCCTATACGATTCCCTCATGAGTACTCTGGTTGCTGCTAAAATTCAAATTTGCTGATATATCTGCAAGTATCATTGAAAAGTTAAAAGAAAAAACTTCCCTTTCTTGGGACCTAGGTTGAATTAGCAATCAACGTCTAATTGGATGGTCTAGCAAAATTATTGAACGGTCATCATTTGGCCTGTTAGTTTTATGTTGTCAAGAACGAAAGTTTACATTTTTTAATGCCGCGTGGCGGTCTTAAAATTAAGAGGTCTGTGCTATAAAGTTATGTTCATGTTCTGCAGGTGTGTGCCCCATCATGTCATGACGCTGCTACCCTGCGAGCTTGGTGGGAAGAAGACGAAGATAGAAGGCTACGATTTTGCAGGAGCGTGATGGAGTCTGACATGTTGCCCCCTGATCGATGTACTCCAGAAATCGCATATTTTATCATAAGGCAACATTTTGAATCCCCATCAATGTGGGCCATTTTCCCCCTCCAGGTATTCTACCAAGTTCTAACAGGCATGTTAGTACCATGAATTTAGCAGGAGAACTAGACAGAACGAAGTTGGTCAGTAAACTAAACTTGTCCCTACATGGTGTCTTTGTCATTCTGGTGGACAGGACTTGCTGGCCCTGAAAGAAGAATATGCAACACGCCCTGCAAACGAAGAGACGATCAACGACCCAACAAACCCCAAACACTACTGGAGATACCGTAAGTCTTCATCTTTGTCATAATGCTCAGCTCTACCTAGTAACCCACGAAACGGAGTCTGAGGTTTTGTACATTGAACTGTCGTCAGGTGTACATGTGACTCTGGAGTCTTTGTTGAAGGATAATGAAATGACATCCATAATCAATAATCTTGTGCGAGGGAGTGGAAGATCATTTCCCAAGAAGGGCTTAGAAGGGGAAGTAAGCTTAGCGTCTGGGAAGCAGCAGAATGCCAGCGCTGGGGAGAAGACGCCTCTGTCCTCTGTTTCCAATGGAATTCAACCAAAGGATGCGTTGCCTGTCCGCTCATGAATGGGACTTGCTTGCATGTAAAGGAAAAATAAAAGTTTGAATACAGTTCACTAAATAAATTTCCTCAAACTATTCCTTCTTTCATATTTATATTATGGTTCTTATTACGTTTGGAATTAATTCCTTAAATTTGTTGAACGTATATCGTCTTACAACTTCATCTATTTCGTCCCCGGAAATAAAAATTAATCGTAAAATTAAAAAAAAAAACAGCACATATTATTGACAATAATTCGTAAGCAAGCGAGTTAATTGGCGATCATTTTGGGGGAGGAGGACAAATAAGCTAGTTGATTATTATTGCTACCTCTGGTCTTAATTATAAGAGTTAGTTGACTAATTTGAGGAGATTAAAAAAATAAATTAACTTAGTTATTTGTAATAAATAGATGTTGTCTTTCCTAAAATATTCTTGTTAATCAAGTTTATTGGTTAGAACTACTATTATTAAAGGAACTACCTTAAAAAAAATGCACAAATATGAGAGACAAAGTAGATTGGGATCTTTTAATTAGGACCAAAATAAAAATCAAATAAGATCTTATATTAAGGACTGGAGGTAGTACTATTTAATTTAACCTCCTATAGCCAAGGTGATTTTTTTTTTAGTTACGTATAAGTATTTTTTTCTTATGAGAGGCAGTCTTATTCGAAATGCGGTCAAAACCAAAGTGATTATTTTTCTTTAATAAAAGAAATTTGGATGAATTGAAATTCTATGATTAATTATGTCTGGATCAATAAGGTTGCTTTATACGCAATGAAAAAATTATTATAAAGTTTTAAGAAAATATGTAATGCCAAAAAAAATCTCAATAATAACTTACTAATATGAACTCGGTGGTTTTTATAATTTAATTTGTTATTATATGCTCTTTACTTATTCTGAAATTTGTTTGATTATTATATTATCTCTTAAATATAATAATAATTATTATTATTATAATTTAACCTTTTTTTACCAGCAATTATTATAATTTAACCTAGTACAACTGCTGCACGCACAGATCTCATCGCCAATTATTGATATTACCGTGATGATGAATTTTATGAGGAAAAAAAAAACTTTCCGGTCTTTAATATAATACCCATTTAACTATTTAATTAGATTAAGAAAATAAGGTAAGTTAGTTAATTATAAGAAATGTGACATATTTTTTCTAAAATACCATAATCATCTTTCTTAATACCCACTATTCCTCTTCTATTTGATTATGGTTGAAGGAGTATCCATAGGAGTAATTTAGAGAAAATTGATAAATATGAGAAATGGGTCTTATATTTAATACTAAAAACAACTCAACAATTAGGTCTTATATTAAGGACCAGAGGAGTACTACATTTTTAATATTCTTAATATAAGAATTAGTTTGACTTTTAATTCGGTCTTAAATATAATATTCTAATTTATTTTGTTTTTCATATTTATTTATTTATTAAGGTAATTCTTTTAGTAGTAGTACATGTTAAATATTTTATCAAATGACACTTGATTAATTTTTTTTAACCAATTTAAATTAATCAACTAATTATCACGTGAAAAGAAGTTGAACTGTTGAAGTGAAGGTGCATGGACCGAGGATGAAAAGGTGGGCCCAGGTGGCCACGTAGTCTGTCAGTCACGAAATTCAGGCATCGGTTTGAACGTCACATGGTGCGCGAAGGGGAACCCCAAATTAGGGAAATTTGCAAAAATAGTAACGCCCAAGGCAGAGGAGAAGAAAAGCATGGGGGAAGGGAGGCATAAGAGGAGAGCGGAGGATAGCTTAATAAGGCAGGGTGTGTGAGAGTGGCGGTGGAATCCTTCTTCCATTTGCTCCCGTCTCTGTTTCTTTCTCTCTCGCGCTCCCTTTGCTTCTCCATCGCTTCCCCTGAATGCCTCACCAGTGTTCAGGGTACCTTTCTCCCTCTTCTCTTCACTCGTTCGTCTATATGCATTACATATGTATCATCTGTTCTTCATTCTGGGCATTCCAGAATTTATTCATGTTCGTTTTTAAGTTTTGGCTTTGCACTTGATTTATTATATTATCCGCATTTATTACGGATGCCCTGTCATGCACGTCAATTTTCATCTCTGCCATTCATCAATGAATGCATTTCAGATCTCGTGATGTTGATATAATTCTTGTTATCTGGGCGTTCTTGCATGTGTCTCCTGTCTTATATACAGGGTTGCTTTGTTCTCACTGCTTTGTTCTCCCTCTTCTTTGAAACTTGACCGCTTCCTCTTTTCTACTTGACAAATCGTGCAGGTTATGAGGGATTCAAGAAAAATGTGAACAAAATAGCCTGCGTTTCTGTTCGGCATCCAACGTTTAAGCCCTCATCTTGAATGCACCCCTTTCGAGCAATATTCAGTAAGGATTGCATCGCATTTTTATTGATCTGTCAATCTGTTATATTCATGTATACATACATATATATGTTCTTGTATGATATTAAGGGATGACAAATAAAATGATGATCATGCAGGTTATTGAAATGACATCAAAATAACAAATGTGTTATTTGAGTGGTAACTAACAGGGTATAACATAATACGATTTTGAAGGATAATTGTTCGAACAAATGATTTTCACTGAAAGCTTAAATTGTGGTGATAAATGTCTCATCAGAGTTTTATCTAGCTTATCATAATGTATTCACTCATATGTTCAACTGATAAGCTAAGCTGCCATAACAAACATATGCTTAGCATCGACTCCATTTATTCAAAATTGAAGATATTGAAAATCAAAGATATCGCGAAGTGTTGATTTCGTTTTTACATGGCTTCATTTGATCAAGTTATCGTTCCTCAACAAATTAAAATTGAACTATTTGGATAATAAATGATTTAATTGGGTTTAATTGCCGCTACAGTCTTACCCAGCAAAGTCTGTGGGAAGCAATAAATTGTCATAATTGCTTATAAGTTTTCTTTCTCTCATTTCTCGCACTTTCAATTAATGGCAACGAATGTTTATTTCTTTTTTTTTTTTCTTTTTTTTTTTTGGTGAAGAACGAATGTTTATTTCTTAGCCTTCATTACAACCATGAAATTGCTGAAGACATTAATTTTTTATAACCTGATGTGTCGAAGATTTTGGACCTGACATTTGTACGCTTTATGGGGGCCTGGTTTATCTTGTAATATGAGTTGGCTCCCTTGTCCATTTTATCATATCTTGCCACTTCTATTATATCTCAATCACGTACATTAATTCTTCATATACAGCATTTCCAGGAAACTCTTATTTTGAAGTTGCCGATGTCGTCGCCTTCAGAAAACTAATTTTTCGGGGATCTTTAATAGAAGAATCGCATTTGGATGCGCCGCCGCTGCCACTCTCATCTGGATGAGATTCTCCACAATGGCTGTAGCCATAGATCAACATCATGGGTTTAAGCCAATTAGCCGATGCAAACTCCAATCCTATGGTCACATTGATCAGAAACTTCTAGAACTTGACCAAACAAGTCATAACCACTCCTCCAAACAATCAATTGAATCCAACAACAATTTTCCCCGCAGTTTCTCCACTCCATGCCTACCTTTAACCCCTTCAGCAGGGGAAGAGCTTGCTTCTTATCCCAAGATTGAGATAGTTGGTGGCAGCGGAGCTCCTCTAGTACATGCTCTAGTTGTAGAAGTTGCCATAGCTATGGCCTCTGGCTCTCATCCTATTCCAGTCTCAAAAGGGTTAGGTGGTGCGTATGTTTTCCGGAGCCAAAATGGCAAGGACATAGCCGTGGCTAAGCCAGCAGACGAGGAGCCTTTAGCCTTCAACAATCCAAAAGGCTTGAGGGGTCGATTGTTTGGCCAACCGGGGTTGAAACATTCCATTCGGGTTGGTGAAACTGGGATACGTGAATTAGCTGCTTGTTTCCTTGACCATGCAAGCTTTGCTGGAGTGCCTCCCACTGCTCTAGTCAAGTTCTCTCATGCTGCCTTCTATTTTACTGATGCTGCGGCCGCGGTCCCATCAGCAATACCTTGTAAAATCGCTTCCCTCCAACGCTTTGTTGATCATGATTTTGACGCGGCAGAGTTGGGGCCTTCTTTTTTCTCTGTTGCTTCTGTTCACAAGATCGGGATCTTAGACATTAGGCTTTTAAATCTTGACAGACATGCAGGAAATATGCTTGTGAAGAAGAAACAAGGTCACCATAGTTATAATGCTTGTGGAGTTGCCGAGCTTGTTCCTATAGACCATGGCCTTTGCCTTCCTGAGTGGCTTGATGATCCATATTTCGAGTGGCTTCATTGGCCACAAGCCTCCGTTGCTTTTTCTGAGTCTGAGCTTGATTACATATCCAAACTCGACCCATTTAAAGATGCTGAGCTTCTTAGAACTAAGCTTCCTTCTCTGAGGGAATGTGCTATAAGGGTTCTTGTTGTTTGCACCATTTTCTTGAAGCAAGCTGCCGCTGCGGGCATCTGTATTGGTGATATTGGTCAAATGATGACTCGACAGTTCTGTGGGGGAGAAGAAATGCCTAGTAAACTGGAAGATATTTGCTCCCGAGCCAAGGCGATCATCCGTCGTGGTTCCAACGTGGAGAAGATGAAAGAAGAAACTGAACAAGGGTCTAACATGTTTCAACCAGACAATCCAACTCTAAACGGATTGAACAAGGGCTTGGGAATGCCAGGTTTTCCACTTGCAGGATCATTGGCTGGCTCGTGTGAGGAGGCTGATAATCGAAACAAAACCTTGGATGCTGGAAAGATCGATGATGGTGAGAGTGAAACAAAGGGGGTTCTTACAAAGAGTGTTAGTATGTCTTCATGGAACCAGAATTGCGAAACAGGGGTCATTTCATTCGGAGAAATGAACCAAGGCGAATGGGGAATGTTTCTGGAAACTTTTGAGCAGCTTTTGCTGGGAGTGTTTGACGATAATAAGTGCGGGAATTGAAGCAAAAGTTGGAACCTTGTGCAAGCTATGGATGTTAGGAATCTTCAATATATATATATATATATATATATATATATAGAGTCAAAATCCAGAGTTTACTAATAATTGTATATTTATATGCCAAAAAAAAAAAAAACACCTTAGAAGTAGGCAATTGTAGATGTCTATAAAGGTGAAGTCATATTTTACGAGGATGGAACAGTGATTGGGAAGCGATTCAATCCTTTTCATTCTGCCAGGTATATTTCGTTGTTGTTTTCCTTTTTTTTTTTTTTCCTTCTTTCATCCCTTTCTTGTGTTAAATTTAGTTGTAAACTATGACCCAGGTGGGTTCCTATCCTTTGTGATGTAAAATTACAAGGTATATAAATTGTATTGTATTAGGATGCATGTGCATGTTACTTTCATTGTTCAACTTTAAAATAAACTAAATTTGGATTTAACCAAAAAAAATTTCTTTTAGTTAAATTTGAATCTTCACTAGAAAATGACTTCCATAAAAGATATCTATATAGTGCCCAAAAAAAAAAAAAGGACTTCAGAATTCTGCTATGCTGTGTAAGCCTGTAGAAGCTTTGTCTAGCAGACAAATTAATGCTCCTTCGTTTTCTTATATTTCCGCAGTTCATTAAACATGTTAGTTAGCGTCATCAAATAGCATCTGTTCATGCTTTGTTTGGTGATGCAACTTAAAAAAAAAAAAAGGGGACGACAAAGTTGTAAATAAATAGTACCTTCTCTCTTAAACGCAAGATCCATATCAAAACAAGCGATTGACGATGCTATGTAAGAAGGGGGAAAAAAGGGCGGGAAGATGATTCCATCGTTATCCCTCTTTTTTTACTTTCTCTTCGCTTCTCATTTTACATGATTAAGTTTAAATGGTTCGAATTCGATATTTTATAAATTAAAATATCAATCAAATAATAAACTAAATATGTTAAACTTTGATCCCCCTCTTTTATATATGCAATGGAGAGATGATTATTATTAAAACGTTTTATAAAGTGAACGTTTTTTTATTTCTCCCCCATAGCCATCATTACATGTTTAAAACTATTCACATCAAATTTTAAAATATTAAATTTAATATTAATATATTTTAGAAATGAATTTATAGAATATTGAATTTGAAATAAGAGGAGGGGAGGAATTGAAAAGGAAAAAAGGTTTTAAAAAAAAAATTCTAAAAAGTGTGAAGGGATGCAGCGGTTCTAGAAGATTATAGAAGTTGTGGGTCCCATATAAGTTCTGGAGGTCCGGCTTAAAATATAAGTTCAATTTATTAGTCGCATAGAAAAATTAAAGAGGAGAGTTAAATGAGAATTAACTCATTAAATATGTCATCAAAAAATTATACCATTTTCTAAACGTAAAAAAAAAAAAATTCTTTTAGTGAAAGAGAGAAACATCAAAGCTAAACAATAACCTTTTATTTGAAGATTGATTCCGGATTGAATTGACAAAAAAAGGACAGAGGAACATCCGAAAAAAAGAAAAACATTTACGTATATATTTGATGTAAAAAATATACTATTGTTACTGTTAATGTGTGCATAGGTGTATTGAATGAGTACACTGTTTCCGCTTAAAAGCATTATAAAACATATTGTATTAAAAAATCGACAATGAACGAAAATCATGGTACAAAATTAACGGATTTAATTTAAAAGTAAAATCTACGAAAATTTATCATCGTGCTCATTAAAAACCACAAGAGTGTGATAGAATATGAATAGAGGGTAAGTTTTTAAATAATTTTTTCAGTTTATTCCATTTTTGGAACCAAAACAATACCCAATTGACTTTGAAGATGCAATTGAATTCTTTACTTAATACAATTAGTAGGGTTTAAATCATTCTCCATAAATTGAGTGGAGCAACATTATTCCAAAAATACCCTTAATATTATTAGTAAGAAATTATCTGTTGGTTTCTACACTTTGACAGTCTGACACTGACACATTCATCATTATCAATGTAGCACAAATGGGAGTTAAGTTAGCGTTGACCTGTCTTCTTCAAGTTGATTCATCGCTTCGCAGTGTTAAGGTTCAATATCAGACACATGATCCAGCATATACATCTAGAGCGAGGTTTCTTTCAAAATCTCTAATCAAATAAAATTGAAACATTTAGATTGAACAATCCTTTTGACCTATCGGCCATTCGTCCAGTTCCCAGGAAAACACAGAAATCTTTCAGACAGAAGAGACGAGAAAACAAAAACAGTGACAGTGAAAAGAAGGATATTTTATTTCGATGCAAAGCACCAAGATCCATATAGACACACTCCTAAGAAAATTCTAAAACAAGGAGGACAAACATTAGTAACGATGGACACTAAAACATAACATGACTGAAGAAACTAGCTATATGATCATTTGGATCCTGGGCGGGAGTCACGAGAGCGGGCAGGACTAGTTCTTCATCAGAGTTTGAGGGACAAGTCGAGACCTGATGAGGAGGATACAGCAGGCTTCTTTCCCTCAACATTTCGATTCCCAGAAGTGTTCATCACATAGGGTAAACTAGGTTTGGGTTGGCCTTGATGATATTGAGTCCAATAAGGCACATGACAGTGACTCTGATGGTGATGAAAATGAGGGTTGAAGGCTGAAGAAGAAGCACGAGAGGGTAATATGGGAAGATTATTGTTAGTGATAATGGAGGAACAGGGACACAAATGAGGGTGTCCAAAAGTACTGAGCTCCTTCTCCATCCTCCAGATAACTCTCTCTCTCCTGTGTGCATTCTGGTGACCTCCCAGAGCCTGCGAGCTTTTGAACTTCTTCATGCAGTACCTGCACTTAAACTCCTTCCTCCTTCCTTCTGGTCTCTGATGATTGCCAAAACCACCAGAAGGTTTCGACACCTTCAAAGGTTTCGACATGTCGGCGTTGTTGCCGAGTCTCAGAGACAGAAAATGTTCCTCAGTTTCATGTTCTTCCCGGTCCGCCGGCTCCTCAAGCCTGCGCTTCATCTTTCTGTCCTCAACACCTCCCACATTCGTTATCTCTGACATTATTCTCCTTCTTTCTGACTGACTTGATATGTTTGTGCCAGACAAAGACAAGTTGTGTGGCTTTCTGAGAGAAGAAGAGGGGGTATTTATATAGCAGAGAATACGAAATAAGAGGAAAAAATTTAAATGTAAGCTAATGATTAGAGGGAGTCCAGGTTACAACTGTAACCCTTTGGAGGATAATTTTTTTATTATTATTCTTTTGTAACTTACATGGACTTTATGCAACTGGATTTTCTTTCTTTCTTGGAATTTATTGCCCAGGATTCTGGTTTCCTTATGACTCATTCTGCATTTATCATTCTCTTGATTATTCATCTGCACTACTACAGCCGCAAATATTTCATTAAACTAAAACTAGTTAAGGTTTATGTTGTTTGAAGATTTTGAATTGGATCTCGCTTTTATTCTACATTCTGAGCATACAATATAGCATGCTGCGGCTTGCGTTTTTCTTTGCAGTTGTAGTCCCCCCCCCCTCCCTTCATATGCTGCGGCTTGGCCATATAAAGTATAAATTCTGAAGGACCAGATTGTTCTCATCACATATGCACACACATATATATAAAATTAATTGTAACCTTAAAGCCACCATGAAAATTACCATTTTAACGCAAGTTATATATATAAAGGATAGTCACGTTTGTTTTTAACTCTGGCTGTAAACAGTGGTTTAAACCCTGTAAGCATCAAAACTCATGTCAACCCTGGTTTCACTTGGGTTAGCTATGACAAGTCCATTCATATTAGCATACCATATAAAAGCAATAACCCATCATTTGTCTTGAAGAAATAAATAGATAACTTTTTTCTAATTATGTCTAGTCCCAGGAAGTTAATTATATGCCCTTTTCAGGCGATCAATAATTTTCTGCCTTGATGGCCCCCAAAAAAATTATATATATAATAATGCCTTTATGATAAATAAGAAGTTGGCCTGAGTCTAATAAAAAAGATTAGCCCCTCACAACGTAACAAATCAAAATTTTAATTTTAATACTCAACTACTAAGTTTACTAAGTTTCGAGGACTCAATAGGGTTGAATATGCTTTTAAGTTTAAAAAATTACTTGCAAATCGTTCATCAATAAATTCTCTGTATATTAATAATGGGACTTAAACTCATAGGCAGGTTATGAGATTAATGTTCATTAATTAATTGAATAAAGCTTTGTTAATGATAATTAATGCTAGTAAATATGGGTTACAGGCTACTCATTTATTACTTTTAGAATATTTTTCTAAAGATTATTAATTATTTCTTTAATTTTCTTTTGTTATTGTTATATTAATAATAACAAGGAAGTAGGCTTTACCATGGGCACAGGAATCTATGTACAGAAATTAAATTTGGAAAAAGGTCAACAATTTTTTTTTGGCCATTAAGGTCAACAAAATTTAAAATTCCCTATGTATTAAGTCAAAATCATAAAACATTATGAGTCAGAATCATGCATGTAACGTTGGCCCAAAAAAACAAAACCGCAAAAGAATCATTATAAGAGTTTTCTGGCCGTAGGCAAAAAAGGGGGGAGTTTTCTACCCAAGGGTCGAAATTTCACGGTGGCACGGCTCATAAAACACCTTAAATGCTCCCGGGTTGGGTTGGGGGAACATCCACGTCCGAGCGGTTGCCTTTGCGGATCCAAAATAAAAATCTATTTTAATTATTACTTATAATAATTTCTCACATATCAAAAAATTATTAAATACATAAAATCTTTTACTTTTACCCTTCTTAAATAACTAATGTATTTTTTTATCCATTCACTCTCTTTTCACCTTTACACTTGTCTTCTTTAATTAATAGGAACTGAATTAAAAATAAAGTATTAAAAAGAGTACAAGTGACAAATAAAAAAGGTCCAAATACTCTCGTACTAATGATAATTAAAAAGGACCAGAGTGGTATACATGTATGCATCTATATAATTTAGAAAACTTCTACAGAAAAAAAATACTTCATCCGATCCTACATATAAGCTTCAAATAACCGAATCACATTTAGCAAAACTAGCAATTAAAATTAGTTAAAAATAATAAATGGGTCAAAAATAGATTTTTTTTTTTCAAATTTGCCCTTATTTATTAAGAGAGTAAATGAGAGGCAATAAATAAAAAATAATAATAAAAGAGAATATGTAGAGGTAATATTAATGTGTGTGTGTGTGTGTGAGAGTACTAAATACAGTCAACTAAGGCCAAAATAGGGGGGAAAAAAAAGTAAAAATGCTTATACAAACTTAAAAATGAAGTTTATATTTTGGACCAGGCCTATCTCCAAAAAGTGAAGTTTATATATAAGATCGGAGGGAGTATAATTTAAACATTAAGCAGTAATTATTGTTATACTAATTATTAGCATAAATATATGAAGAATAAAAGGAGGAATGTATAGATTAATGCGTTTATTTATATATTATTATTAAAATATAAAATTATTTTTCATTTCAATTTCAAATATATAAAACTCTGGGGTCCTGATTTATTTTAGAAATCGAAAGTGTTGAGAGGAATGTTAACATGAAAAATTAATACTCTAATTAAAGTATTAAAACTGCATCAAATGATCGAATTCTTAATTTTTGTGCATTACTTATAGCTTATGGGAATATGATTAACTCTACTTATGATAGTCATTATTATCAACAACATATAAAATTTTGGAAATTTAACTGCATAACTTTATTTACCACCCAAAAAAAGCGGAGATACACAGCCCAAATCCCAACTAAGCGCATGCATGCACGCTTCATTAATTTAAAGGGGAAAGAAATCATGCAGGAAAAATACTCTCTCTCGGTCTCTCTCTCTCTCTCCCCCCCCCCCAAAAAAAAGACTCCCGTATAGAAATAATCAAAATTCCATTAAATTTAATACTCCTCCAGTCTTAAATGTAAGACCCTTATACACACTAGTATAAGGGTCTTACATTTAGGACCGGAGGAGTACTTATTGTTGGCCAAAAAAAAACCTAATACTTATGATATTGTTGATTGAAGCCATTGAAACGGAGTGCAATATCAGATTACACACATTATGCATTTATGCATGACCTGGATGGGGAATTATTGCAGAATCTGGAGGTGCAGTACTCCTCTAGTCCTTAATATAGGACTCAATTTTTAAGTTGGTTTTAGTCCTAAATATGAGACCCATTTCTCATATTTATCAATTTTCTCTAAATTATCCCTATAGATACTCCTTCAACCATAATCAAATAGAACAGGATGGGGTATTAAAAAGATGATTCTGGTGTTTTAGAAAAAATATGTCACTTTTCTTATACTTAACTAACTTACCTAACTTCCTTAATCTAATCAAATTGATTAAATACGTCTTATATTAAGGACAGGAAGAGTAATTTATATTCCAAGCACTTGGAGAAAGGAATCTCGTCCTCCCTCCAATTCCAGGTTTTTTAATCTCTCCCAGAGTTTCCAAAGCATATTCTTTGATTCCAAGAAAGTTCCTTACCATCCGACTCCATCAAATAATTTGATATTGGCGATTTTACAGTATCAATCCCGGATAATATAACTTTTACGCCTCTAGCTTTAAATTTTCAGGACTGCTGTTCTATCATTCTACTTGGGTTGTCCATTCCCAGTTCCAAATAACAGAGGCTTCTAATCTAGTGTCGTACAAAAAAGAATGGTGAGTCGAGACTAGCCCGGTTTGTTTCTCCCTTTTGTGACAAGCCGGTTTGTCTAATCATGATTGTTTATGAAAGAATACTATACAATACAGTGGTATATAACTATATGTTGTTTATAATCAAATGGGGAATAACGGTACAATACTAGTTTATTTCCTAATTAACTAGCCCATCCTTGAAAGCATTGTACTGAAAATGTCAGCTTCATATCTACTGTATTCCTTTTGCTTAAGTTTCAGCTCCCTGTACTCAATTCTCATGTCTCTGATAACAAGCCAAACCAACATCTATTTCAACCTGATGCCTTGCAGGAGCAACTGTGAAAGAGGCAAAGAGATAGAGAGAATATAAGGGATATGTTACCTGTTGTTTGGATCAATAGTGAGGGCTCTTTTAATGTCAGCCTCAGCTTTCTCCAAGTTGATGTTTTCAGGTATGCCTGGCATCTTCTATACAGTGCCTTTACATTTAATGGATCTTGTTCCAGAACCTGTTCAATTATGCAATTCAGGCTTGATTTGAAGACTATAAGAGAGAGAAGAAGAGAGTAGGACAGTTAATACCTTAGTGCAGAGTTTTGAGGCTTCAGTATACTCCCCCAATTTAAGTTTACAAGCAGCGTTGTTCAAATAACAAGATATCCGTAAGGCATTGGCTTGACGTTTCTCATCATCACTGAATGAGTGATCAAACTCTATGCATTTTACAGCCTGCATTTATGGTGAAGAAATTTTGTTTGCTTAAAAAAACTCCCAGGCAGATCGATCAGTTCATGAAAAATTCTCTAATAGTTGATAGATAGTATGCCTTTTCATATTTGTTGCATGCACGCCTGAACTTTTCAGCCTTGAACAATAAATTTCCGTCATGTTTCTTCCTCTCACAAGCTTCTATTTTCTCCTGAGTGTCCATTTTCCAAAATGGCTTCTCCTGTATACATTAGAATGATTTTCCAAAATGATTTCCACCCTCAGTTTACATCGTTTAAAGCCAAAGAAAACGACAATATATTTGAAAGCCTTAAATATTCACTCACAGATTGTGACTACTGGATGATGGTACAAGTTGATAGCACATATATCTATAGAAGTTATATGCTTGTGGAATGCTGAATGTGTGTGTATGGTTTCTGTTTTTTGAAGAACCACAAGTAGTTATAAATAGTAGAAGCGAACCTTGATGAAATCAACCAATTCGACCTCATAATAAAGGACTTTATTAGCTGGAGTGGAGGGAAACTTATTTCTATCGGACAAATATTCGGCGGTGACAGCCACAGTGGCTTGCTCTCCTTTTCTCATTGTCATGATTGCTCTTTCTAGCCCCTCAGGTGCTTGTTCTA